TAAAAAACAAGACAAGAAAAAAGGTTGTTGTCGAAGATACCAGTCAATAACGCATTTCAACAACAAATACATTTTCATTCAAAGCTTGCAAACTAAATTAATTAATTATTGATAATTTCATTCAAGAGTTTCCTACTTTTCTACTTGTATTTTCACTAAGAATGAAATCCCTCTATCCATGTTAATTAAATTTATATCTATGCAGTGCCATTGTGTAAACAGAGTTAACTGTCGAAAGTTACAAACCAACCCCAACTCCAAACACCATTATTGCACTCCCTGGAGTTTTAGAAACACTAATTGGAAAGCTAAAAACACCATCCATGTCTGAGGGCGTGGTTACTTTTTTACTCACCAAGCTCGGAGACTTCCTCGCAGAAAGGGGAAAACAACTGGCAGGAGTCCAGGGTGAAGCAGAGTATATCAGTGATGAACTTGAGTTCATGACAGCATTCCTAAGACTTGCAGATGCGATGGAAGACGGTGATCCTGTTCTAAGATGTTTGATCAAGAAAGTGAGAGATGCAGCTTATGACACGGAGGATGCTCTTGATAATTTCAGCCTGTCCCTTGCTAGTGATACCGGGCACGGGTTTTTTTCCTGTTTCAGGAAAATCTCTCGCTCTATTAAAGATGCAAGAGCTCGGCGTCGAATTGCCTCAAAAATTCAAAGCATCAAGTCTCGAGTGATCAGCATCTCAGAGTCACATCGGAGATACTGCAATAAAAATAATATAATGATTCAAGGATCAAGCTCCATCAACATCCCTAGGCTTGAATGTCAAAAGGATGCCCTTCTACTAGAAGAAGCTGATCTTGTGGGCATTGAAAAACCCAAAAAGCAGCTGATCGAGTGGCTTCTTGGAAGCAAATCAGGACGTGAAGTGATTTCTGTGGTTGGAATGGGAGGCTTGGGAAAATCAACCTTGGTCAAAAAGGTCTACGATGATTCAGACGTGAAGAAACACTTCAAGTTCCGTGCTTGGATAACTGTATCTCAATCTTTTAAGAGAGAGGACCTCTTAAAAGACATGATTCAACAACTCTTCCGTGTGCACAGGAAACCAGATCCGAAAGGTGTGGACAGCATGAACTACAATAAGCTAAGGAGTGTCATCCATGAATTCCTCCGACAGAAGAAATACCTGATTGTCCTGGACGATGTGTGGCACACAAGTGCTTGGCGTGCTTTCCAGCATGCGTTGCCGAACAACATCTGTGGCAGTCGGATATTAGTCACAACACGTAATACTGAAGTTGCCTCCACTTCATGCGTGGATTCCCCCGACAAAGTCTACCCTTTAAATCCGTTGTCTCAAGAAGAATCTTGGACTTTGTTCTGCAAAAAGATATTTCAGGATAACCCTTGCCCTCCACATTTGAAGAATGTTTCAGAAACAATTTTGGGTAGATGTGAGGGATTGCCTCTTGCGATTGTAGCAATTAGTGGTGTTCTTGCAACAAAGGACAAGAGTAAAACAGACGAATGGGAAATAGTACATCTTAGCCTTGGTGCTGGATTAGAAGAAAATGACATGCTGATGAGTGCAAGAAAAATACTGTCACTCAGTTACAATGATTTGCCGTACTATCTCAAATCTTGTTTGTTGTATTTCAGCATCTTCCCTGTGGGTAATCGAATCAAGCGTATGAGGCTTATTCGATTGTGGATAGCTGAAGGATTTGTGAAAGGCAAAGAAGGAATGACAGTAGAGGAAGTTGCACAAGACTACCTGAATGAGCTCATGAAGAGAAGCTTGGTTCAAGTGGTGAAGGCAACCAGTGATGGACGGGTCAAAACATGCCGCGTCCATGACCTCCTGCGCGAGATTATGATTACAAAGGCAAAGGATCAGGACTTTGTGGCAATTGCCAAGGAAGAAGGCACGATATGGCCAGAAAAAGTTCGTCGTGTTTCGATGCATAATGTCATGCCAAGTAAACAGCAAAGACATGTTGCCTCTCGATTTCGTTCATTGCTGACATTCTGGGGGGCAGATTGTAGTTATGAGTCTCCTGTGCACAACTTATTTTCTGGTCGTCTCAGGCTGCTTCACGTGCTGGATCTGGAAGGTGCACCTCTAAAGGAATTTCCTAATGAAGTTGTAAGCCTCTTCCTCTTAAAATATTTAAGTTTGAGGAATACCATAGTGAGTTTCATTCCAAGTTCCATTAGCAAGCTTAAGAATCTTGAGACGTTGGATCTGAAACATGCCCAAGTTTCTGTATTGCCTGCTGAGATTCGGAAGCTCCGTAAACTTTGCTACCTCTTGGTGTATCGCTATGAAATTGATTCTGATGACCGGATCCCCACCAAATACGGTTTTAAGGCACCAGCTCATATTGGAGGTCTACAATCCATACAAAAGCTTTGTTTCGTAGAGGCACATCAAGGCAGGAATCTTATGTTGGAACTGGGAAGATTGAAGCAGTTGAGAAGGTTAGGAATTGTTAAGTTGAAGAAAAAACATGGAAAGGCTCTCTGTTCTTCTATTGAAAGGCTGGCGAATCTTCGTGCCTTGTCTGTTACTTCAATCACAGAAAGCGAGATTATTGATCTGGACTACTTAGCATCGCCGCCTCAATTTCTTCAACGATTGTACTTGGCAGGACGTATGGAGAAGTTTCCAGATTGGATATCTTCACTGGACAGTTTGGTCAAGGTGGTTCTAAAATGGAGCAAGTTAAGTGAAGATCCGCTGCTATCTCTTCAATATTTGCCCAATCTAGTGCATCTTGAATTCGTACAGGTTTACAATGGAGAGATCTTGTGCTTTCAAGCCAAGGGGTTTCAGCGGCTCAAGTTTTTGGGGCTAAATAAACTAGAAAGGCTCAGGATGATAATTGTAGAGCAGGGAGCGATGCCTAGTCTAGAAAAGATGATAGTCCAAAGCTGCAAATCATTGCGGAGGGTGCCATCAGGCATTGAACACTTGAGCACACTGAAAGTACTGGAATTTTTCAACATGCCGAAAGAACTAGTTATGACGCTGCATCCGAATGGAGAAGATGGAGATTACTTGAAGGTTGCACATGTGCCAGATGTTTACTCCACCTATTGGAATAATGGCACTTGGGATATCTTCTCTTTATTGAGTGCCAAATTAGAAGACAAACATTCTGCCCAGCTTAGCCCCGCTTTGTACAAACGCAACTATACTTGGAAATAACGTCCTGTGATGTCTGTCTGGTATATACAGATCATTGTAAATTAATCATGTTTATATTTATCTCTTCCATTCCCTGTATCCTTCTTGGTGCACAGTGTAATGATTATTTGACTAATCTCGAGCATGGATTGCCTGAATAAGTTCATATCAAATTCAATTCCTGCCTGTTGTTGTCAGGGGCGGCTTAAGGTGAACAGGGGCCAAATGAGGCCTTCCAAAATATTTAAGAAATATTTTATTATTATTTAAAGCTGATTATCATGAGTTTCATCCGGACCAGAGCATCTAACTGTAAGAGAGTTTCTCACATAGCCCTTGTTTATTCAACTTATAGAGGGAATGGGGTCTGGGGTGTCCATTCTTAAGAGACACTTAGTAAAGGAGACAGCACATCAAACCTCGCCATTGCCACAAGCAGACAATGAAATTCATGATTGTTGAAAATAGCATTTCTCTGTTGTCTTATGTTTGATGCTGAGTGTATGAACAGATACTCTAAATACGCAAGCAAGCTCTTCAAGGTCTCTCTGGCTCTGATCATTGGCGTGTACATCGGTTGCTTTTGATGTATGAATGCTGTACTTTCATTGTCTAACCACAGTAGCGATGAAACAATATGCAATTGATAAATGTGCTGTGCATTGGTTGATTTATTGATTAAATGAGTAACAATAATTCTATTTGAAGTTGTGAAGTGCAGTTAAACCGACATAGCCAGCTATAGAGTGAATCCTCCTCCGTTCAGGAAAGTAGACGAGAGAATTCTAAATGGATTTGAAACGTTAGCAAAAGGTTTAATCCTGGTAGGACTCCATGTTGCTCCTGTGTTTATAAATAAACTGAACCTCACCAATTAATTATTACTATCAAATCATTGTAGTCTAGTCACAGATCTTGTTTGTCGATTCTCTCCCGAGTCTCTTCATCGGTAGCTGCTCCCTGTTTCTTGACTTTCAACTTCTGGTTACTTTAGCTCTCAAAGTTGTTCTTCCACTGACTACATATCCTTTTGTTTGTCAATTTCACCAACACGACAATGGGGTTTAGTTATTTTTCATACAATCAAGATCAAGATGATCAAGAGAAAGAAGAAGTACCGTCATTTTCTCCACCTGATTACAACCATGTCGATGAGGGGAGAGATAAATTGGGTATCGATTTTTTCAAACTAAATCCTCTTGTTCTTTCCCTATATAAACAAGAATGTTTCAAGACTTTGAACATGCATCACCACGACGAGGAGAATGATGATGATGATGATTATGATGATGATGATGATGATGAAGAAGAAGAAGAAGAAGAAGAAGAAGATAGTCACGAGTTTGCATGCAAGTCTTTGATCATGAACCGTGGTTGTGGCAGTGGCGGCGACGACGAGGGACCAAGGAAGATAGACTGGGGATATCTGGAGGAGTTAATAGATGAATTATTGGACGAGTTTGAATTAGCAATGGACAGGTCAATAATGATTGACAATGGACAGTGTAGTTCTGTTATTAAGGTACAAGAAGATGATGGTGATTTAGAGCATCATAGTGACATAGAAGAGCTTGCTGATGATTTCGAGGTGGATGTGCATGGATGGCATGAAGTCCAATTGGGTCACTCTGAAGAACAATATATATGTTATCAAAAAGATTTTAAATTTTATTTTTTTTATCCTCAGTTAGATCAGGATTAAAGATGTAATGACCATTCTTATTAATGATATATGCGAATTTAGGGTATATGTATATTGATCTTATAAAACACCTTGAAACTAATTGCAGTGGTAGATCCGTCGTCCATACTCCCTGGTCGTGGACTCCTGCTGTGGACTTGCATTAAAAGGGAACAAAAGGCCCATTGTCTGGGAAGCCCATAAAACTCTCTAAATCCAGCCCAAAAATTTCACCTATTAAAATATAGATTCTTAAGATTTGAAGTTTGTGAAAGCGAAAATCATTTAATGTTTTCTGCTATGAAGTAACAACGGAGCATTTCGATAGTGGGGCTAATTGGTTGCCATCTGGAGGACCCGATTGAAAATTGTTTTGTTTGGCAACCCCAATTAAGAATCAGAAAAAAAATATTTCAAAAAGAATAAAAAAAGAAAAAAGAGATAGGCCTGGATATACACAGCCCAGATTCAAAGAGAAAAAAATGTTGAAAGTGTATGCTGGGCTCACATTACCAGCCATAAATCAACTCATTGAAATGGGTCGGTGCTTCCCAACATTTGATTGCTCTGGGTCGGTGGATCTCATTGAAATGGTTTCTGCGCGTGCATTTTTACGCGCCTGTTCCATAATTGCTTCTTTTGTTGTCAATATGCAGGACGTCGCTGATTCGGGAGGCACGGATATCACTTAGTAGACTCGTGTCCAATTCTGGCTACTCGGCGATAGTCTTGCGAATATTAACAGCTAGCAGAGATATGGCTACTTTGACCATTGATATGGCAAGCAGGTTGTCCCAAGAAGACCAGAGTCTGAGGCTTTCTGATGTCATTGGACATGTGAAAGAATCAGAAATTGTTGAGTTAGGTCAAGCATTTAAGAAAAAATAAATTAATTTCGGAGTATCCAGGGGTGTTGTTTTGAGGTTGAATTATATATAACAGAATTGACAACTTGGTGTGTGCGCGCGTGTGTGTGTTATAATTTGTATCTAATATGTATAATAATTTTAATAAATTAATTTTAAATTATGCAATTAAAATTTTAAACATAAATATATAAACATAATTTCAAAATTTAAATATTTTTATTTAGTAACTACTAGATTATTTTTTAAATTATCTAGTATACTCCACTAGTTAGATGAATTTTCGTTTTAACATTACAATAAACATTTAGGCGAACCTAATATTTTTCTAATAAAGAAAAAAAATTAAATCATGTGAGAATTAACTTGAAATTAAATACTCAATCAACTTAATGAGTCCAAAAATAATTGGACGATTGGTAAAAACATAATGAGTCTAAAGGAAAAAATCTCGAGTTCATGATCGACAACATAGAAGCAGTGTCAAAAGAATACCCTACATAAGCTAAATCTCAAAACAGCATCTCAAAAGAACAATTTATTAAAAAATACACAACATTTTATAATCTTAAGAAATATTATATTATTTAAAATTGATGAAATCAAAAGATAGTTTAAAACTCTTCATCAATAATTAAAATAAATAAATTAGTTTAAAACTCTTCATCAATAATTAAAAAAAAAATTATAATACTCATTATATTATCAAAATTCAATCTTAATCAAAATAGGATAATAGTAGAGCGTCTAAGACATCGATTCAAAACTAAAAGGAAAGCCTCGTAAAATAAACAAGAAATACCGACCAAAACTGAAGAAGCAAATACTTAGCCCAGTCCACCTGCTATAAAAAAACTAAGAACCAAAAATAATATTAAGAATGAAGGGTGAGGTTAACCAACTCAGTGAAGGAATAATATTTAATATAAATTTTAGATATTTGCAAGACAATTTATCTTGATATACATATACATATACATACTAAACATATTATCATAAAGTAGTGGAATACATGTCAGTGACCAGATGACAACATTCAATATACATTTTAAATATTTTAGATATTTGCAAGATGATTTATCTTGATATACATATACATATACATATACATACTAAACATATTATTGTAAAGTAGTGAAATAAATGTTAGAGATCAGATAACACCCAAAGGTAACCAGATGACAACATTTAATGTACATTTTAAATATTTTAGATATTTGCTAGACAATTTATCTTGATATACATATACATATACATACTAAACATATTATCATAAAGTAGTGGAATACATGTCAGAGATCAAATGACACTCAAAGATTGGTATGACCTCAAAGGTGACCACTATGGGATGACTAGTCACCACAGGCTGATGTTTATCTTACCAGCTAGATATACAGAATACTATGTGTATATAGGCTAACTACTCTCCGTTAGCATGGGGTTACTGACAAGTCATATATCAAGGCATAATAGATATTCATAGAATCATAAAAAAAATGTATATCATATAAAATAGAATTTAGTTCAACAGATTGCGAGTGTAAATTCAAGACTAAATGAGTACTCGGAAAATAAAGCAACATATATAAATATTCAAGAAATTAATTAATTGTACTCATCATATAATCAATATACATATTTATTTATAATATATGCATATTAAAAATTATCTCACTCACTCGAAAAATATAGAACTAAAAGGAATGTCAGATGAAAGACCGAAAATTCTATTAAGGATCATTAGGAGAATTTACAATAATACATGAAATATACTAAAAAAAATCAAACAAAAGATCTCAATGCATGAAATAAAGCCAGGTTTAGTCTACCAAGTTTATGGACCAAAATGATAATTTTCCAAAACAGGAACCCAAATTTAATTTTACCAAAATTGAAGGACCAAACTATAAATACATAACCATAATGATTTTTCACCCATAAACCATCCTAAATTCTGTCTATAACAAACAAGGACCGAACAACAATTTTCATAAAGTTTAGGGACTAAAATGTAAAATCCTAAAATTGAGGGACCAAACCAAAAATATTTTAAATCAATTACCAAAATGAGATTCATCATCCTTAACCTCATAATAACACTATCTAGAATCTCAAAATACATTTAGGGGTCAAATTGTAATTTGTTCAAAGTTTAGGGACTCAACTGAAATTTTTATAACTCAAGGACCAAAATAAAATTTGGTCATCTCTAACGTCAAGACCATTCTGTCAAGATTTTACAGTAAGGTAAAAAATAAATTTCTTAACCAATAAAAATTAATTTAAACATATCAATTCACAAATCCTTATTTCTAACAACATTTCAATTCACAAATCCTTATTTTTAACAACATTTTAATTAATCACCTAACGTTAAACCCTTAATAATCATAAATCATTCGTAACAATATAAACTTTAAATCCTTATAAACATTAATTTCTCTCTCTCTCTCTCTTTTAATCCTTCCATAAACAAATCATAATTAAAAGTAATATGAGAAAATCACTTACTTGCTACTTCCACCTTTCTTAAACCAAAAAACTCAAAATTAAAAATTAAAATATTTAGTTTGAGGAGGGAACGGTCACGGTAGCTACAAGAATTAGAAAAGAGGAAAGAAATTATTTTCTAACTCTTTCTTAAATACCTAGATTAATTTAGGTTGTGTTCGGGCTGACTTGAGCTTAGGTTTGGGCTAAAAGTTTGAGTCTTACACATAATTTGACTAAGAAATTTTAAGTTTTTTTTAAAAAATATATTAAAAAAATAACATATTGAATCCACTTCAAATAACATTCCAAATCTGCTACTCGAGTCATGAAACCATAATAACTCTAAATAAAGTAAATTGAAATAAATTATAAAGTTCAATTCTCAGCATTCCAAATCTGCTACTCGAGTCATGAAATCATAATAACTCTAAATAAAGTAAATTAAAATAAATTATAAAGTTCAATTCTCAATAACTTTATTATTTAATGATGGAATTGGAAAATTTTAATATAAAAAAAAACACAATAAAATGATCTAAATTTACCCATGTTAACTCGTGCAAAATCCATAATCCAGGTCATGAGACTAAGATAACTTCATAAAGAATGAACCAAAACAAATGACAAAGTGTAATTCATAAGCAATTAAATATTGAATGATGAAACTAGAAAATATATTAATTAAAAGAGACAAAAAAAAAACTCGAGATAACTAGGTTAACTCATCAAACTCATAACATGGGTCATGAAACCGAGATAACCACAAAAAAAAATCATAATAAATTATGAAATCTAATTTATAACAAAACAAATGTTAAATGATGAAATTAAACAAGAAAAATATATTTAAAAAAAGAAGAAGAAGAAAACACACTATTCAAGAAACAAAACTAGTAAAATAAAACTAGAACATTTTGATTGAATCTTAACCAAAAAAATTAAGAATGGATTGATATTCAAAGTAAGATGAAATTTGTTCTAGATTTTTTTTATTTTTTTAAATGATATGAGATATATTTGTCATCCAAATCAAAACAAAACAAAATTAATAGCCTTGAAAAATATATTTTTTCCTTGCTTTCCCTAATTTGCTTTCCTTTTTAACACCTGAAACAAGATCGTAGAGCAGTATAGGAGTGTTGATTAATGAGAGGTGTTGCACGTGTGCGGCGTCGCGACGATCGTCCACCCTCTTGGAAAAGATGGCAATGGTGTGGTGTATTTCCAGTAAAATATGAAAAGACAATGAATTCTTGTGTTTCTTATCAGTAGAAAATTTGAATGGGAGTCGCCACCTAGTATTCTGGTCACTAGGAACCCTGACTGGTCTCTAAAATCGGGTATGAAGACTGTTTGAGTAAAGAAAAGGTATTAACACCCCAAATACACCTTACATAAGGTAAGATATATTGTTTTTTCTGATAAAATCTAAAGTCTTGTTTTGTGGTTTTTTACTTGTTGGTCTGTCTAAGGTTTAAGACGAGCCCTTTTCAATAAGGAGGTTCTTATCTTAATACGATAAAACATAATCGTTCTATTGTCTGAAAAAAGAAATAAATATCTAAAATACGCATTACGTGTAATGTCATATCTCGGATACTAAGAGATAAAAAATAAAAGTTTTGTTGTTTTTGAAATTTTAGTCAATGTTCTCTTTGGTATTTAAAGCCAAAATGCATGCTAAAACATTGTTTTTTGGTATATGAAAAATACAATATGATTTTTTAGCTTTCAGGCACTTAGCCGTATGCACAAAAATATATTTTTTGTTATTTAATTTTTTTTTTGGAAGTTTTGACGAAAACCAGGTATTTTAATACCG